TTTAACCAATAATTGGATCTGCTAAAATTACGGGTTAAAATTGTCTAAAATGAAATTAATTGTATTCATATTGATTGCAATCATCAGATAATGACACACTCGCCTAAGCGGCAACAAGATGCCGGCACTTCATGATAAGACTCATTTGTCAATTTGCACACACACATAGAGTGAGAGAGTAGATTGTACACATAAAATTGCAGTGACTAATTTCGTTGCTTATAACGTTTCATTATTTCAAGCAACATCATATGCTCTTCAAGTCAATTCAAGTCTCGCGCGCGCATCGAATGGGGCATCGAATTATGGTCGCACATCGAAAATCTCACACAATTAAACGATGAATTGAGAGAGAGGAATGAGAGAAAACAAAAATCTTAAGTATATATCATAATCAATTAAATTTTTATATATGCCCCACGGGCTATGATGTCGATGACTCTTTTCATCAAGTTGAACACACCAGAGATTTTTTCTCCATGTTTCTTTATCGGATCAAATGAAAGAGTTTAACAATTGGAATAAGTGAATATGCGTATGATTTAATGAGTATGAGTAATTTTAAACAATATATGCCAACTTATTATGCCAATCAATCGAATAAAGTGTTTTGAAATCAAAGAAATTACACCATGAAAGCGCATGTGAAAAGAGTTTTGTCATAAAACTTCAAGCATAATTGAAGTGAACGATGATGATGCTATATATTTGCTCATTCTCCTTTTTGTTCTTCTTTGGCTTGATTGATTTTCGGCAATTCGCATAATTGATGTTTTATATCAGATTTGCTATTTGTTTGATGAATTCTAATTGCATCGAAGAAGAGAGAGGAGAGATAGAGAGAGAACGAGAAAATCGTTAGATGGTGTCGATGTTTGTGACTCTCGATCGATAAATATTTTACGCTTATATTTTATTTGTGTATTCAATTTTCTATTTCTAAATTGGTGTGGTGCGGCACTCTTTTTCCTTCATTTATAGTATAGGCTTTTACAATGCTTATTGAATGCTTTTCGCCTTTTATGCAACAAAATTTATCTTTTGTTATTTTATAATTAGATATTTATGATCCATTCATCTTTACCGATTTCCAAAGTTCCTATTCTTCGTCTCTGTTTCATTTATGTCTGTGTATTGAGTCGCCTCTTTCGGTAACATATCTCTCGCTGGCTGAATTGGCCATGAAAATAGAATATGGATCTCTCTCTCTCTCTGTGTGTGTACGTGGTGTGAAAGAAAGTGTTTCGTTCTTTTTGCTTTTTGTGTTTTTCTTTCTGCCGCCTCTCAATTTCGTGTTAATTCTTTACTTCATCAAATGATGATCAAAGCGCACTCTGCTAATCGTGTAGTGTCGACTTAACTGTAATTCATATTCAAGAATTTATTAGTGATAATCAAAATGATGGGCAAAGTAAATCAATTCAATAAAAATCCATTTTAGTGTGTATTGAACGAGCACGAGCATCAGCATCAATTTCGATTAGTGCTAAACATATTCGTGATTATGAATCGCTCTCCACTCTTTCTATTCGTTCTATTCCCTCTTATTTAGTGCTCAAAAATTAATTGATGTGCGGCTTTTGTCATGCCAATTTAAAAAATGGTAAAAGTTCAAGATGAATTCGAATAACTTTAGCTATTCAATAAACAATATTCTAAGTTCAAAACGATCATTTGATTGAGCTCGTTGGCTTTTGTGTTTGGCAAATTTCCGTTTTTAATTTGGTTTTCGCCATTGGCTTAGTCATGGTCTAAATTGCCAAATTCATCGTAAAATGTTAATCATTTTCATTTGGCCTGAATGGCTTTGCTTTAATGATTTTATTCAATGAATATGAAACAATGAAATCAAAATCCTATTTAAACAAAATTGGTTGGGTGACTGAAGTCGTACAAAAATTAATAATATGCGTTGATTTTAAGGTTTTAATCATAATTTCATATCCAGTTTGAATAGTTTTTGGCCATATCATAACATCAAAATGAGATGCCGACAATCTTTTTAATCCCTTTTAATTACTCTCTCTCTCTCTCGACTCATCGTGGTCTCAGAATGAATGTTTGACTGCAAACAAAACCCAAAATGCAGATTTTTTTTTCCAATGGTGAATAGAAGGCAACAACCGCGCCATGTATATTTATCCGCGATGGTGATTAAGCATCGATCGTTGCACAGCCATCTTGAAGTAGCGCTATGCATATTTAATAATAATTTGTTTACAATATCATAAAAGATGAAGAAGAAGAAGAAAAAAAAACTAGAAATTTCAGCATCGGCCTTTTTGGTGTTTTGGCCTTTTCGCCAGTGCCCGCTCATTTCATACCCCGACGATGTATTTTCATAAACGAAAGAATTTCATATTCCATAATTAATTTTATTTATGCGATATTTATGCAAATAATATAGCAATTTTCAATCGAACCGCAGTGCCATATCGAAATATATAAAAAAAAAATCCAATCGGCACCGGACTTGAACAAGCATTTGAGGAATTATTTATTGGAGAGAAAAGAGAGAGAGAAAAAAGAGTCACCAAAGTAGCAGCCGTCATCGTCGTCGTCATCATCGTCAAAATCACATATATTTGGGTCTTTCATTTAATGTTTATTCTTTCATTTGGTGCCTGGTCTCGTTCTGTTTTTTTTTTCGCTCATCTCATTTGGTTCGGTTAGTTGTTAGTTTCATTCAAAATCATTTAAATCATAAAATGCATCAATAAAATTATGAATTCTAAAAGGTGGAAAAAAAAGGTCTGAAAAAACGGCAGCGAAATGAAGCGGATGAAAATGAAGAGAAGAAGAACGAAAAAAATTGATGCGAATTGAGAGTGAGAGACAAGAAAGGAACCGAATTAATAAAAGACCATACAAAAACTAATGAAATTCATAAATTTATGCCGCTATGAAATGAACCGTCCAATGTGTTCGGTCGTCAAACTACCTGACCGCTTTATTACAAATAAATAATTGCATGCTACCTTTTTTTTCTTTCATTTGATCGTCCATTCGTTGCCCATCAATTCATAATATGGTATGCCGTTTTCTTGTTTAGCGTGTAGTTTTGATAAATAGCTAACTAGAGTTGGTAATTTGATGGCTTTTCGACAGGTATCGCCAATGAACCATAATAACATCTCTCATCTACATGCCAATGCACACCAGAAGTGTGAACTTTGGGTCCGTCCATTTCATCATACGGTTCCCAGGCAAAGATGCAACACACTCTCTCTCTCTCTCTCTGGTCGATTTTTTCGGCTGGTTGATCTTTGTGTGTAATTAATTACGTTTATAGCTACTGGCTTAGCTTCGACTTTGTTAATGAAAGAACAGAAAAGTATTTAATTTTTATTGCTGTTAATTTTCAATTCAAATGAATGTTTTTCGTTTGCCGGTTTTTTTCAAAATGTTGTTGTTTTTCTTACGATCATATTAAATTGAACCAAATTCTAATTTGAAGTGAATGTGCGTGCAAAGCATTCATTATTGGTTCAATCAATTCGATAAACGTTAAACCGTTTCATTCCTTTTGAGGAAACAAAATTGGAAGTGTTGTGGTAAAGGCTAAATGATATATTTTATATGAAGGATATACGAATCAATTTATTATCGTGGCAATTTTTTTTTTCCTTTTTCATTGGCATTTTCGGGGCTCTGTATGATTACGGCTTATCGGCCATTCAATTTGCATAATAAGTTAAAAGGTTTGAAAATAGGCCCATAAAATACACAAATAATCCGTTCTGGTCGTTGATAATGCCGCGACCAAACCACGGCAATGCTGTGATGACATTCATTCGATCGAAAAATTTATTAGTTTATATTTGTCATACAATATGCTTTGGTGTTATTGTTTTTTTTGTTCCCTACCAGTTTATTCCACTTGAAAACACGACGAAAAATGTGAAGACAACTTGAAAAAAGCATCGATTTCATATTTTGAATTGAGTCACAGTGATTAACAATCAATAAAAATCTTGTTGACTACAGATTACCTCTGAAGATTGTGATTGTTCTGTATGCGGTGCTCTTTCTTTGACCATTGTATTTTCTTCTATTCGTGTTAACCTCATCGTGATAATCAAAATGAGGACAAAAAGAAAGAAAAGAAAACGACCAAAAAATCACCATTCCAATTCCGAAGTGGAGGTATTTTCAAAGGAAATCAAACTAACAAGTTGGCCTCATAGAATTCCAAACAAAAGCATTTAATATGATTTGTCTGTTTTTATTGTGCGCGCTTTTTTGTTTCTTCTTCTTATTCGTATATGTTTTGAACATATTTAAATCGGCGCCGATATCATTTCGATTTTTGCATAAAAACTGATTTTCATAAAATTATAATAAATCGTTTTTAAATGTGGACAAGCTGCCCGAGCCCGCAAAAAAAAGAATGCATATTGTAAATTTGTTGAATTTAACATATATTTTTTTTCGGTTTGTCAGACAGTTGGCACTCTCACTTTTTGTTCGCTAAACACAGAAGCTCATTTCAAAGTCACTTTGCTTTGATATTTTTTCTCAACCGAACAACCATAAAATGAAGGATCAAAAGATCACTTTTATCTTCTTCATTTCAAATACAAATATATACACGGCGAAACGCAACCACATTTACTCTTCGTCAATTTAAAATAGTTCAGGCTAGATATTATTGACTAATCAGCTGTCGATCTAATAACACCTTGTGTGAATAGAATACAACGTCCACACAATGATTACAATTAATTCCACCGTTCACTTCAATCGATTTAAGTGAACGTGGTTTTTAAGTTAAATTAGTCACACCCAATCAATTATGGAGGGCATTGTTTTGAAATGGTATTTCTTTAAATTGCCCCAAATAACACCACTTCATACAGATAAATTGCTCAAACAAAAGTCCTTTCTTTATTATTCGTTCGTTTTGTCCATCTGTTTAAGGAGTAATCATCATTTTTCTTTTTAAAAATGTGTTTTCTTTTCCAATTTTTCATTCTGTATTGTTGTTCATTTAATTTCAGATCAATCTCATATCAATTTATTTTCATCGAGACCACAGCCAAAGAAAAAGCGGAAATCCCGTACAGCATTTACCAACAATCAAATATTCGAATTGGAAAAACGTTTTATCTACCAGAAATACCTGTCACCAGCTGATCGAGATGAAATCGCCGCTTCGCTAGGATTATCAAATGCCCAAGTATGTATAAAGAGAGACATTTTTTAATGTTTTGCAATGCAGATTTATTAATTTCGGGTTTTTTTTACACAGGTGATAACATGGTTCCAGAATCGAAGAGCTAAATTGAAGCGCGATATGGAAGAACTGAAAAAGGATGTTGAAAGTGCAAAAGTATTGACGGCCCACAAAACATTTCTAGAGAATGTCAACGATTTGGGCATTCTAAAAAAGAAAACCATCCATGAATCAACGGCATTACTCATGCAACCCGGCAGTCCTGAGTGAAAAACGACTTAAAAACATCCGAAGCAATAAACACAATAGTTCCTAGTACAGATGATATTCATCGTTACGGGAGAGACAGAGGCGGAAGGATCCGAAAAAGAGAGAGAACAACACATTTGCAGTTATGCTAACTTCTCACAAAACATGCTGTATAACTTGATAAGACCAACAAAAAAATGATAATTCTTCCGTTTATTTGCCACAATTTTAAACATGATTTGAAAACAAAATAAAAATAATGGCGCATCATACAAAGACGCCAAACAATATTTGGCACTACTTATTACCGTTTATTTAAAGAAACTGAAACTCTCAGTGCGAGAGAAAAAAAACACAAAATTTTCAAAGGATTTTTTTTTTTCATGAAAACGCCAACAAAAAGTAATGTCGACTAAATTAAAACTGAGTGTGTGTGTGTGTGTTATTATTTGTGTATTAATTTTGCTGTAGGTTGTTAAAATGACCGATCTCAAATAGAATGGAAACGGTGTGTACATGTTGAAAGTGTGAACGGGTGCACAGAGCTCATTTTTTGTTCACGCGTCGAGTTGTGGCCGATTGAGAAGGATTTTAATTCTCAAACTTTGCTCGCATCGAATGCAGTCAATTAACTGACAACAGCCATTTGTTGCAATAACATTTTTGTTTTCAATATTGGGACATTACCTCAAACTCTCCTATTAAAAATATTTATTACATTTTAAATGCGAATAGAAAAACTTATTTTGAACGTTTCAAAAGAAAAACAAGCTCATTTAGAAAGAAACACCACAAAACCATTTGCTTTTCTCATCTATCAACAACCGAAAGAATATATTCAACTAGAATTTAAGATATTATGATTAACTTATGTACATATTTTTTGTGTAACGTTGCTTTTAAGTATACTAAATTTGATGAACAAAAAAATAATAATAATACACACAATATATCAATCCTAAACAAATGAAACTTAAAATAATGTAATTAATTAGAATTTTTTTTGTAAATATTTATGTATTCCATGTACCATAATATAATTAGTAATGGTTTTACTTGAAGAGAAATGAAACTGCATACACATACAAAGAGAAAAAATTGGTTAGCTATTCGATTCCGTGCAACATGAATTTGCCATGTTCGAAGGTGCTGTTTCAAAGCATCGGTCATCTCCGAATTGGCGTAATTTTTCTATTTTTTGTTGAGACTTTAAGTCTCAGCCGAAGTTTGACATCAATCATAAACGGAACATTGCGATGCATATAGATCGATATTGTATGAATTACCCATCTAACGAAATATTTACAGTTTAATTTAAATTTGTGATTTTAAAAACATGAAAACAGAACAAAAAAAAACCACGTTTCCTTTCTCTTTTAATGTTAAAATCGTAAGAATTCAAACTATAAACACTAACCAGTGATCGAATAAAAAAAATAATAGAAATTGGCTTAGCAATTGTGAAAATGGGTGTTGATCGTTTGATTGTTTCTTTTACAAAAAATTAAATGTAACAAACGTACCCTGTTTAAGACTATACACAAACATTTGAATTAAATCATTTGACGACAAAATAAAATGAATGAAACTTAAAAATTAAATAAGTTTGTAATTATAAGATTAGTGTCGACGAGGTAAAATCTCCTTTTCACAGAAAAAAAAAAAAAACAAAATTTGGAAAAGCGATATTCCAACTTAACGAAACAAAAAAAATTAAATAAAATTCTATATCGTAAAATATCAAAATTTAAAACTTTCATTTTGGTATATATATGTTGAACTCCGTTCAAAAATATTCAGCAGTATTTATTTTATATGCAAAAGAAAATTCAATGTTTGAAGAAAAAATCTCACATTATTCATAAATTTTCGAAAAAAAAAAATCGTGAATTTCACACATCACCAAGAGCTTGAAATCGTTCACAGTTTTTCGGCCAATATTTATCAAACATAAAAAAATGCATGTGAATCGATTGAGCAGAAAAAAATTGTTCGATTCGCTAAATGTAATAGTTTGGGTAGATTACGATGAATAAAAAAAAGAGTACATTAATGTGAATTCATACTTCAATTAATATTTATATTAGTAAAGAAAAACAACTCTCATCAGTGAATATTATTGAAAAATTTAAAATTTAAATAAAATGCAATCTAAAAAGTTCAATGCTGTGTTTATCATTTTGAATCTTTCATATTCTTTCAAGTGTATGCGGAAAAATCATGGATTGGTGGTAAGTTTGTACAGACACATTAAAGCTTGGGTCATGTGAAATTTGAACATCTCGTAAGCGACATAACTTTTATGCAGGAAAACGAAACCTTTCAAATGGCTCTAGCGCTTTTTGATACGGCAATACTTCTTTGCAAAAACTTCCACTTCGAGGTAGTAAACAGAGCTTTTCAAATCCACGATTTTCGTACAAGATGTCGCTGTGTGTTCCATCCTTTTCGAATCGTTCTTGTTCCATATATTTCCCTTTTCATGTTTCGGTCTATTTTTACAGTTCATTATGTACAATGTATTTTGTAGTTTATGGCTCAATGACGAAGGTTAATTTCTTTGGAAAGTAATTAAATCGAATTCAATTATGACTACTAAATGACGCACTACATTTTATCTCATATTTTTGGTAAAAATGTAATACTTTTCGATATTAGATATTTCAATCTACCTTCAAAATAAAGAGCAACCTTGTCGGCATGAGCCACATGAAAAAAAAGGCAATTTGTTTGGCATGAGTGTTAATTAAGGAAAAAAAGGCACATAATTGTTTGGCGGTTGGCATGCGTCACAAGATTTTTTTGTAATATAAAAGTGTGTATTTTTTTTTTCTCGTCGCATGTTCGGTCATTATGTTAATAAGATTGTATAAAGTGCTTGAATAAAATAAAGCCAATATGTCGAGTGCTCATTTAAAAACAACTTTAATTAAAATTAGAATATTTAACCAATTTTCCTGCGTGGTTGTTTCTTCTCTTATTCATTCGCTTATTGTAATTGTTTGAGTTGAATGTAAACATCTCATTTTATTCAAGTCGCCTTTGTATTTTTCAGCCAGCGATTTTTCTGCATTTTCTTTTTTTTTTTTTTGATTCAACAATGAGAGAGTATATCAAAAAGACACCGAGCCATAAGTAATAAAACGTTGAAACAAAAAAAAAGAAAGTGTGGCATATCGATGTGCAGAGATACTTGCAGTGATTGTGTTTATAGAAAATGTGTATATGTTTATCGTTTGCGGTATAGTTTAAAAATACGAAAGAAAATTCATATTTATTAGCATCGTTTTGGTTGAAATAGTTCGAATCTGTTTGCTTGTGTTTGGTTCGGTCGATCCGGGTTTGGGTTCATCTGTGTTTTGACTTCGTAAATGATTTGATATTACAAATGGTTGTTGATTGATGGTTTTGATATTTGATTGTGCTTCGGGCATTGTAAATACATGGCAGAATTGTTTGCGCCAGAACAGGATTCTATGCAATATTGCGTCGCGTTTGCGCTCTGTAAAATGCTAATAATAATTCAATGAAGTTCGTATTTTTTAATTAATTGCTAATAAAAATTTATCTCTTCATTTTTCCCGATCTAAGAGCGGATCATGCCATGCACTGCCAGCGACGCAGGCACGAACAGCAACACACAATTCACATGTTTAATTGTTTTCATTTCGTCATTGTGACTGTTTTCTTTCCTTCGGGTTTTGCTTATTTTGATTATTTTACGTACTGTCGGTTGATTTTTTATTTCATTTTTCGTTTTTTTGGTTTTGAATTTATCGCTTCATCGAATGGAAAAAGTTGTAAAGCATTTTCAAGCTCAACGAAATGCGTCGAGACTTTAAAACCACCATATTTAAGGCACTAATATTCAAATAGAGCATCTGATAGATTGGACTTTTTGATTATTCGTCGAAACATGATGTGAGATGTATTTTTCGAATCTTTTGAATTTAGATTGGCATACGTTTTCACGGAATATGTTCATAAAATTCAAACCAAAATAATTCACATTTTTATTATCGATAATAATTGTTGACTAGTGTGCGTTCGGTTAGATTGTACACTTTTCAGTAGTCTCTACGACTTAATTTGTTGCTTTTCGTTTGCTCATTTCTTTTTTTTTTATTTGTTGGAATTGCCTGGTTATGGTGGTCGGTATATTTAACTAACGACGAAGAGCCACATAAACATCACTAGGCATTAGGCATTTTAATAACACATGTGAATTTGCGAGATAGATACACTTATGTTATGATGATATAAACAATGAATTTTCACATCTTTTTTTTCATTGAGAAGGTTTTGCTAGTGATAGAGTTCAAAGCTCATACAATTATTCAAATATTCATATATTGCCATTTTTAACGCAGTTATATAGATTAAAGTGGCTTTATTTACAAATCTTTGTGCCATGCGAAACACCAATGACACCTGCTTTGCTATTGAGAATATTAAAATCATATTGAGATAAAAACCAAATTTTTGATATAAATTTTGTGACGAAAATCGTTCGTATTTCTGTGTACTGTGAATAAAACTTGATATGCATTTGTACAGTCATCGCCAATCTGCATCGATTTCACAGTTAATGGTGGATTCGAATTTAATTATTGGCATCACACATTTTTATTTGATCCACGAAGAACTCCGTTCCTTGGGAAAGTGAAAAAAAATTCGCAACGTCATCAAACAGCAACGAAAAATCATTTACTGACCATTAGGTTGGAACGCCTTGTGCATCCAATCCAGGATATGAATCTTCTTCGCCTTCGAAAAATCAAATTTTAATTGAAAGTCAATATTTTCACGTGAATTTATTTGTTTATTTGATTAGCCAATGCAAAATTGAAGATATGGACACATTAAAGGAAATGTCAGAAAAAATCAGATACGTGAAGGGTGACATAAGAGCTACATTATAAATGATTCTTTTATATTTCAAAACAGTTGGTCCATACGCTAATACTTAATATAATGGGTTACGCTGGATATTTTATACGCTCAGTCTGAAAATATATCCTAAAAATAGCAGATATTGAATGCTTACACGGTAGTTAAATTTAAGAAGACTATTGTTATGGGCTATCAGGCATTATATTAAGAGAAGAAAGTGCGAAAGTGAAAAATTCAACTCCCCAGGCGCGAATAATGTAAATTCCGACGTATTTTTCGACGTATTTAAATTAGTCAATGGTTCCGCAATGTTTTTTTGATAATTTCTGAGAATAACGCTCGATTGTACGTGCCACTTTCATTTTGCTGCTCTCTCAAACGCACAAGTGCGTAAGACCAAACGTCGTCAACTCTATAGTCGCACAATGATTCTGAAGGATGGAGGCAGACCGATCAGCTACCACCCGATGATTGGCCGAAAAAAGTTCCGTGCGATATTAATGAAGAAGCCGTAAGAATACTTCCCTCAAGTCACTCCAATGACTAATTTCACTAATATCGGTACCATCAAGGCGCTGAAGCCAGATTTTGTGTCGTACATCCAGTACGACAAAAAGAACAAATTGCTTTTCCT